ATATTTTATATATTTATAAATTTTTTTTATATATCGGGAGTATATATATTTTATATATAGTTCTTTTATATATCATAAAGGTTTTATATATTTTTATATTTTATTAGATAGAATTTAATATAATAATATCAAAACTTTTTTGTGAAAATTTCAAAAATTAAAATTTTTATTATCTATTATGTATATAAAAAAAAAACATAATTTTTACAAATCAGTACATATTTGCAATAATTAATTAAAGAAGAATTAAATTTAAATAAAGAATCCATAAAAAAAACATTGATGATCGATAAAAAACATCGATGTTTTCAAAATATCGATAGATCATTGTTATCTCATATAACACACAAAAATATATTACATGCAAGTCTATTTTATACATAGTCTGTGCTGGCATCGTACTACATAATTCAAGATATTCTATGAAATTTATTTTTTAATTTCTTTATTGAAATATATAATATAGATTATAATAAAATCCAAAATAAATTCAGTAATAATATATATACATTTCATTAAGTAATAAATAACTTTATTTTTCTTTATTAAAAAATTGAATAAAAGGTAAATAATAACTTATATATAAAATAAAAAAATTTTTTTCTATATATTTATTTTTATAAGAAAATAATTAAGAATCATATAAATAGATGTTAATCATTGTATAATTTTTTTCCTGTTAACTTAACAAGTTAAAATTAATGAGATATTTTGTGTTATCTTGTGTTTTAAATTGTTTCATTATAATAAAAATGTCAAAATGTAGAATTAATTATATTTAATTGAATTTTTATTATATTTGATAATAAATTAAAATTTTAAATAATTGTATGAAACGAAAAATTTTAGTTTTTTAACCTATAAAATTGTTATAGTAAAATGGCAAGAGAACCGGATGAAGAGCTAAGAAAAGCATTCTCGCAATTACACGAGAAAATGATTGATACCACGCAAAAATTGAAGTTAGCAGATTTACAAATTGAAAAATTAAAACGATCAAAACAATTCGCTGAACTAACAATGAAGGAAATAACCTCATATCCAGAAAACACTAAAGCATATGAATCAGTTGGCAGAATGTTTCTTTTAGACAATATGGATAGTATAAAAATTGGTCTCGAGAAACGAATGAAAAATGCTGATGAAAAAGTGAAAAATTTAGAAAATAATAAAACGTACTTGCAACAAAACTTAAAAGAATGTGAAAACAACATAAGAGAAATGATACAACAGAGACAAAATAAAGATACCTCTGGTTAAATTTTGTATCTTTCTATTATCGTTGCTGCCGTATTATTTACGTTAAAAATGTTGTATTTTTTTTCATCATCTTATTCACTATATTATTATATTATTATTTATACATAAAATAATGTTAATTTACAACGCATTATAATAAAATAATCACAATTTCAAATTTACAATAATTGTAATTGTTTCATAGTATTTATATTCTATTCTATAATATTTTTTATTTATTATATATTATATATAATCAATAAAGTCTTTTATTATAAATTGTAATTGTTTGCGAAATTTAAAACCTATTAAAAACATTGAGTACAAATCTTGTTTCTAATTATTAATTTATTCCAGCAGAAATAATACATACAACAAACGATTTTCAATGATTTGTCAATTCATTTTTTATTCATTCATTCCCTTACTCTTTACACACTCATTCAAAATTTTTTAACTATATCCTAAATTATTCTTAGAAACTTATATGCCAACATAAGGATTTGGCAGATCGATTAGTTAAATTGAAATGCTCTAACACGTCTCGAACCTGGGGTAGAAAAAATGGAACAATATATTTACTTAAGATTTTTTAATGTTTCTGTGTTTTATAATTATATTTATAATCGTCCCTCTTCTCTTTTCTCTAATATAATGTATGGGATGTGAGACGTGCCTTTCGACCTTACTTGTTACGAGAGTGCTATAATATATGTGTATGCGTATAATATATAATGCATCAAAATGTAATTGGACAAGTATATACAAAGTATATTTATTAAATGATCACGATATTATCAAATTTCTCCCTAGGTCATTTTTTTAGTCATTGGTGACTTTTTTCAATAAAATAATCGATCTCTAAAGATTCGAATTACGTATCAGAATCATATCACCATGTGCATTATAATATTTAAGTATCAAACAGACTTTGTGCTTCTGTTTTTTTCGACGTAGTACTTACACAATATTTATTTTAAACTGAAAATTTGACAATTAAAGTGCGCATATATGAAGAATCTGAAAGATGGGAATCCATGCATTACAATAGCATGTAAAATTGTATACGAAATGAACTTTCCCGAATATAATATGAATGTGAATGTCAGTCTTAACTAAAATGATTGCCATTGTTCATCGTTTATGGTATATCAATGATATTTAATATATATGCAATCTGAACTAAAATCCCTGAATTCACAAATACACATATCGAAGGACACGCTTTTGACTAATTAAGTCTTTTTGGCATCCGTCAGTAAAATATTGCAAAAAAAAATTGCGAATAAATTATACTGAACGATAAACCGCATGAATCAATTAGCGCATCTTAAATTTAAACTGCGCATCTCTGTAATCTGTACTCGTTTCTTAAATAAGTTGTTATTTTTGTTTGCATTAAGTAAAATGTACTTATCGTTACAATATAATACACACGCCGGTCAATGAAGAAATATAAATCACTCTTAATTAGCTTAAGAAAATAATTTATGCCACTTTCTACAAGGACCGTATATGTATAAATACAAAAACATGATAATCTTGATGCTAAACGCCGAATGTACACATAATAAATACAGAAATAATGTAATTTAGATGTAACATATTACATATGTGTCTGCATATCTATGTCTGTTTTGTTACTTCTTTATCTTAACGCCTCTTTTAATAAAATTCAGCTAAAAATCGTAATTTACGAAAAAATAATGCAGCGCACACAATCTTGTTAAAACATAGTGTTAACATGCGCCATTATGAATTTTCAATTGAGCCACTGTTTATCAATCATTTACTATTCAAGCTGCAATATAAATTATTTTTATAATAATCATTATAAAGATTGAAGTTCTATATTAAAAATTTAAACTTATTGCATACCTGTGAATCCCTGTGGTGGTTGACCTGGTACTGAGTATTGTGGTCTAAAATTTCCGAAATTAGCTGCACCAGCAAATGTAGCTGGTAATTGTCCACCAGAAAAACCTGCTGGAAACTGTTGCGCTAACAATGCTGCTTGACCCGATTGAGAATTATTTCCGCCTGGTGCAGTAGCTGCTAATCGACTCAATATAGATCTCTCTGACATTTGAAGTCTTTGCGCAACAGGTGGAATACGAGCTAAAGTAGCTGGTAAACGGCTTACGTCAGATTTCATATCAGATAATAATTCTTCTAATTGATTTAGTACCTATAGTAAAGTAATATAAAAATGAATTATAAATAAATAAAATAAAAAAATATTCAATAAAGATATTACTTTATGCAAGACAGCATTCGCTGGTTTATTCCCTGCAAGGCTTTCTTTACTGAGATGTTGATGTGATTCTGCAAGGCACTCAACTTCAGCAAATCTTGCATTTAAGCTCATTGCAGGATGATTAGGATCTTGTGTTAAGTTCAGATACGCAGCTCTTCTTAATTGTTCCTCTATTACTAATGCTTGTTCTAACAATTTAAAGCGTCTAGCTAAAAATTTATTCTTTATTTCTAAGAAGTTACCCTTGCCCACATCCATTTTAAATGGTTCATTAATTATTGCGAACCTGCAAAATAATATTAAAATAGTATATATTTATATTAAGCATAAATTTTCCTATTATAAATTTTTACATTTTACCTGATATCGTTTTGAATGTCTTGCCAACGACCATAGCCATGTGTAACAATACCAGCTAATAACCAATAGTCGTGTCTTCGATGCCAGATTTCATATTCACGACCAGGAACCGCAGCTTTTTCTTCATTTAACCATAATGTATGTAATTCTGTGAAACCTCCATCAGCTATATTGAACATGAATTTACGTTTAGGTTTTATCGTTTCTGAATCACAATCTTTTATATCTTTTTCTTTATTATCTTTCTCCTATAATGTAAAATCGAAAATCTTGTTAATCTTGTAAAATCTTATTAATTTCTCTAAATAAATTTCTCTAAATAAATTGCATTAGCGTAATAGTAATACCTCTCGTTTTTCAGTTTCTTCTTCATCATCTTTAACGATAACTACATCTTCTTCAGAATCTTGCTTTGTTTTATTTTCAATATTTTCAACTTTTTCGTCATGTTTTGTTAATGACTTTTCTTCTTTAATATCCAATTTATCCTTTTCTTTATCCATTGTTTCTGATTCTGTATCTTTTTCCTCTTTTTTCACATCATCTTTATCTTTATCTTTCTCTATATTATTTTCTTCTTCTTCTTTAGAATCCTTCGATTCTTCTTTCACATCTTTCGTTTCCGTAATCTACAAAATTTTTTTTATTGCAAGTTTAATTGAAATTTAATTTTATAATTAATTTTTTAATTTTTTATAATATAATTATATATAATATATAATTATTATAATTTTATATATAATTATTTATATATATATATTATAATATATAATTATATAATATAATTACTTCTTTATCCTTTTGTTCTTCTTTGCATTCTTTTACTTCAGAACTATCAGAATT